GAAAAACATGGTAACAGTAATTTAGAGGGGGCATGAGAAAAGGTTTCTAGATAGCTGAATAGAAATTCTTATCCTAATTGTTCCATGGGTATATTCACTTTGAGATAATTTATGCAATATGAAGGGACTTCAAACAGTTCATGGAAAATAGACTTAAATTACAAGTTTATTTGGTGCAAAAACATTTTGAAATTCATAGTTTTTTTCATAATATGTATTTTTTCGTGATATATATATATGTGTATATATACATATATATACATATATATATTCACACTTAGGATCTGTGCACTTTTTCATATACCTATTTTAAATAAGCAGAAAAATAAAAACGAAATAAATATGGACCACAGAGAGAGATCTTTTTCATTCCCCGTAAAGTCTAATTTCTTTGGATCCATGCTATATTGCACTTAGAGACTTCACTGTTAAAAACAAAAAGAGCAAAAGCAACTCTGATCTTTATTTCTAAAATTATTGTTAGATTTTTCACATAGGGCACATGTGCTTGCTGGGAGGAGACACAGAGACAAGAGAGGGAATTTGAGAAATCACACTGACCCTCCCCAAGGGATGGCCATGTCATAATCCCTTCTCCATTCTCCTCTTGGGATTCTGGGTATACACACGTGCTCAGCCTGTTTTTCAAGTGACTGGGTCCAGAACTTGAAGTACACTGTCAGCCATGTGGGATCAAATACCTTAACCACCATACCACCTGCTGGCACCCCCACAACTCTGATCTTTAAACTCTAGATTCATTCAGTCTGGTGAGATACTCATGCTACCAACGGGGGAAGAGCAAACTCACATCTTCAATTTGAGTTTTTTTTCTTTGTGTCTGTGTGTTTTAAAGAAGAAAGGAAGACTAAATTATTCTAAATTGTGCTTACATGTACCTTCTTCACTCTTTTTCTTCTTGCTCTCTCACATTCTCTCTCTTAATTGGACCTTTACACTTCAGTGTTCATAAGTCTAATGTGGATATGATATAACTAGGCTATATAAACTGGAGTAGAAGAACAAAACAAGTCCGCCTTATAAAACTGCAACATCCCCCTCCAGGTGCTAGAGGCACATCAATCTGGATTGTGGGAAAAGTCATGACACATTTATTTATTGATTGATTTTTTTTTTTGGAGAGGTTTTCGCTATAGGATGCGTGTGCTCGCCAGACAGAGAGACAGAAAGCGAGAAATCACCCCCCAGGGGGGATGGTCACGCCGCAATCCCTTCTCCTCCATTCTCCTCTCGGGATCTTGGGCACGCACGCACATGTGCCTGGCATGAGTTTAAACCACTGGGTCCGGGACTCGAACCGTGGTGGACTACATGGGGGTTCAGCAACATAGCCATTACGCTAACTGCTGGTCCAGACACATTTTTTCCTATGCAAAAATGCATCATGGTTTTTCTAATAACCCAATAATAAAAATAGTCAAATTCCCCCAAAATGAACTCATCTTTATCACTCACTAAGACTTTTTTTTTTGGAGAGGTTTTCGCTATAGGATGCGTGTGCTCGCCAGACAGAGAGACAGAAAGCGAGAAATCACCCCCCAGGGGGGATGGTCACGCCGCAATCCCTTCTCCTCCATTCTCCTCTCGGGATCTTGGGCACACACGCTCACGCGCCTGGCGTGAGTTTTAAGCCACAGTCGACTAAGTGGGAGTCCAGCGACATAGCCATTACACTAACTGCTGGTTCCCAGGACTTTTTATAAATTTCTATACCTAATCTCTACAGAGCAGTTCAATTCTCCCTAGTCAAAAACTCAGAAACATAACTGGCTCCAATCTCCTTTACCTGCAATATCTAGTTCCACCTATGACACAATGTTCTACTGGGGGTCTTTCTCTCTACCCTTGTCCTTTCCATTCCCACTACCATAACCCTATTTGGTCCTATTAATACCTTACTTGAACTATTGCAATAACTGTCTACTTCTTCCCAGCTCTTCTTCAGTCCAGTAAATCTTTAGAGTCACCAGACTGATCTTTCTGAGGGACAGTTTTGACCATAGCACACTTGTTTCAAAAACACTAATGGCCTTCTCTGTCTTATGAATGAAGCCCAAGCCTGGCCTAAATTTTTATACAAAAGAAAAAAAAAAAAAGTGGGACCAGCAGTTGGCGTAATGGCTATGTTGCTGGACTCCCGTGTAGTTGACCGCAGTTCAAGTTCCAGACCCAGCGGCTTAACTCACACCAGGCGCATGTGCATGCGCGCCCAAGATCCGAAGAGAAGAGTGGAGGAGAAGGGATTGTGGCGTGGTCATCCCCCGTGGGGGGTGATTTCTCGCTTTCTGTCTCTATGTCTCTCTCTGTCTTTCTGGCAAGCACACATGCCCTAGAGCAAAAACCTCTCCAAAAAAAAGAAAAATAAAAGTAAAAACATCTATAAACAATCACTTAGAAGTTAGCACCTTTTTGGGGCCAATATTAAAATTATTTTAACTACTGAGAGGATATATCATGAAAATCATAAAAATTCAAAAAAAAGGGAAAGATTTTAAAGACTCAACTCAGCACAACTTGTGAACAAAGAATAAAATAAACCCAGCTATCATTCAAGATGAAAAAAGTCAAAGTCATAAGGGGGAAAAAAGGGTTTAAAATTCCATCTATTCAAAACACGTTTGGTAATAAGACAAACTGGAATGTTAGTCTTCTGAATGAAACTCAAGTTTAAGTTCCCAGGCTCAAAGACTAAAAGGAACTGGAGGAAATACTGTTGGTATATTTGAGCAAGTTTCAAGATTTTGTCCCATCTTGACTCTTATTTTCCTTACAAAAAGCACACTAAGGTCAGTTCTCCATGTCAGAGAAAACACATTGCATGGTTACCATCTGTTTTTTTCCTTTTTTTTTTTTTTTATGTGTAGAGAGTTTTTCTAAACGGAGTTGGCGAT